TATAATCCTAAAGTTGAAAACTTTACAAGTACGTGTAGAGAAATGAATAAAAAGTCAGAAAATTTTGCCTCAGTGATGCTTACGTGAAGTATAATTGTTAGTGCTTCGATGAAAAATAAAGCAAAAGAAAAGTAGGGGTGAAAAGATTGAGTATTTGTGAGCTGGGTCAGTGATTAAATTCTTGAAAATAGGCCCAAGGTGAAGGGAATAGATAATGAAAGGGGGAAAAAAGCAGCGATGGAGCTAAAGAAAGCAAATATGTCCTTCTGGTGGTTGTTCCCTTCTTGGAGATATGCTTAATTTGCTTGGATTATAGCCTCTTTCTGATTTTTTCACCTTTTCTGAATTTTTTATTTATTTATTTATAAATTTCAACCTTAAAACACCACAGCCTCGGCGTCCTCTCTGCTTTTGGCATTCACCAAATGAAGATGAAGAATATATGATTCAAATTTATACAAATAGAAGAATTGTATGTATGGATCTAGGTTTAGGCTCTTTTTAGAGTGAGGTGGAGGTGGAGGTGGCGGTGGTTGCGACGATGGAGGTGGTTGGTGTAGATTTTGGACTTGAGTTGGGAGTGGGGGTGAGGTGAGAGAAAGAAGATAGGGGCTGTATTTTTTTATTTCTCATTTTTTAATTTAATTACTATTTAATGTGATAAATGAAAATTTACTTTTTTATCCCTTTTAAATTATTAAAAATATGGTCAAAGTTAAATTTTTAGTCAACTAACGAATTTGTGGATGGAAACTGTCCAAAAGGGCTTCACCTACAACGTTTGGAAAGGTTAGAGGTGACAACTGCAACAAATCAAAGGTTTGAAAAAAGTTTGCTAATGTTTCAAAAGTTTGAAGCTTCTGCTGCAATTTTCCCTTGTTTTAATTGTCGTTTGTTTTTATCTTCTTTTAGATTGTGTCCAGTTGCTTTGTTACTTTGGAAAGTTTCAATATTGTATTTTAGTGTAAGAATTTCAGCGTTGTAAAAAGTTTTGCTTTCCTCTTTAAGCGATCGCAAAAACAAGTATTATTTGCTTTCTCATAATAAAATTCTTGAAAAAGCCCCATCAAAAATTTTCGCCATAAGGCTCCCAAGTGCCTTCTGGTCACCCACCAGCGACAGCCTAACCACCCTTGCCACCACTTGCCTTTCCGTCACCTTTCCTAACTTGTAACCATTACAACCCTTCCATTTTTCCATATCCTTTAGTAGCAGCTGCAATGTGTGTGTGTGTATATAAAAACTAATTGGAAAGGAAAACGTTAGTAGAACTAGCAGTTGCTCATCTACAAGGCATAACTTAATTAGGAAAATTAAATATTTTTAATTTTTAAATGCTTGAATATAAATAGCAGTAAGTTATGGAGAACTCCACAAATCAGTTTTTTGTTCAAGATTTTCTGGATATCCATTATGTTTTTAAATTCCTTCCACTGAAAATATCATAACTTCGTTAAATCATTTCAATATTAAAAAATGGAAAACTGAATACCCTGCAAGTTGCCATTCAAGATCTGGTATTATAATTTCAGTATACCATTTTTCAGTGAAGTATGACATTGCCTTTGTATCTGGACAACAAGAATGTGGATCGATCATGGTCATTACTCATTACCCAGAAAACCCCCCTCTTCTTCTGCACTTCCCTATAAATTTGCATGTTTTGAGTCCCCTTGATTCCAAGAAAAGCAAGATCCAACTCTAGAAATACCTATATTATAAGAAATGGCCTTTCCATCCACCTTTCTTCTAATAACTCTCCTGTCCATTGCATTCGCCGTGTCCTCGACTTAAGGCATTCTTCTTGGGGGTGGAATATTTGGTGGTGTTTTTACTTGTGCCAACGTTTCTGTGGCAGTAACCGGTACAGACTGTTATATATTTATGGTATAAATATAAAATGTGAAAGAAATAATCAAATTAGATAAAGTGCCAAAGTGGTGGGAAATGTGACATTTGTGTGGGACAATTGAGAGTTCTAGAAAAACCATTCGTGATTGCTGCATAAGTGGTTTACGATCGTTGTATCCTGGGAGTGATTGTCCACGGAGGTCACAGCAATTATTGACGGGCAATTTCACTTTAGGACATCGTGTTGTCACGAGACTCGATCGGACGATAAGTTTTATATTTCTGCATTATATTGTTCTGATCACTGCTGCAACTAATTATTTTTCTAACACAGACAATGTGATCCCACAAGCAAAAGTGGATCTTTATGTGGAAGAGGTTCTGTTACCCAAATCGTAAAATGAGCCGTAACCAATAGTGCCGGAGTTTATAATTTTCTTTTCGCTTCAGGCAATACTATTTTTAAACGACCCTAGAAAATTCTTCCTTCTGGTTACACTACCAACCAACTCATGCATTTTCAACAT